GAACCTCACCGGAGAAGCTCTGCTTGCTTTAGGTGGTCACAACAGAGACCACAACTGGACAAGAGTGAGAGACATAGGGACAACTAGCCGCAAGTGGGCTGTCTTTATCACCTCCCTCCCCCTCATGGCTCTAAGGTCTACGCAGAACACGGGACCCGAAGATTTCAGGACCCGGAGGAAGTGGACCACGGCAAGCAAAAGGTGTTTTCCAGACCCAGCGGGGCCGACGCACACATGGGTTCACAGAGACTGTAACAGCATGCACCGGGACGTGCGAGCTCGAGTCAGCGGCTTACACGACGCCAGCAAAGAGGAAGCGAAGCGGGCACAAAGCCTCAGCTCCGGCCAAGAAGCTATTTGCAACCCGGAGCTGCTGGGCGAGGGAAATCAGCTGTTTTCAATGGATGACACTGAGTACATCGACCCAACTCCAGTGCCGGCTCCATGCCCAGGAGCGAGTGACGACCACAAACAACATGGATTCCATGACTTTTGATGCTTTCGGGTTTGGGCGTTTTGTTTGTGTGTGTTTGTCTGTTTTCTTTAAGAAAGAGAAAAAAACGTGAAGTTGGTAAGCAGGGAGACTCTGGGAGGCGTTGGAGGAGGAGAAAGAATGCCGTCAAAAAGATATTGTGTGAAATTCTCAAATTAAAAAACGATTTTTGGGCCGGGCAGTGGTGGCACACGCCTTTAATCCCAGCACTCGGGAGGCAGAGGCAGGCGGATCTCTGTGAGTTCGAGACCAGGCTGGACCGACAACCTCCAAAACAATACAGAGAAACCTTGTCTCGTAAAAACCAAAAAAAAAAAAAAAAAAAAAAAGATTTTTGGAACAGTGAAAAGTATTCACTTCAATGTCACATAACATTCTCTGCTAATATTATGCTTTTCTCTTTGAGATTACAATATAATTGCATTTGTCCCTTCCTCCTCCTCCCTCCAAATACTCCCATATAGTCTGCCCTGCCTTCAAATTCATGGCCTCTCTTTTTTCACTAGTTACATCACACATATATGTATATGCATACACATATATGGTCCCAAATACAGCACGCTCAGCCCTTCTGTTATTTGTGCGTGTGTTCCAAGGGCTGGCTGTTTGGTGCTGGATAGCCGACTGGTGTGCTCGTCCCGTAGGAAGAACCGTCTCCCATTCCCAGCTTCCCTGAGCCGTCTGTGGTTGTGCATGCAGGGCTGAGCCTTCATGGGCCTTCCCCACCCACGGAGGCATGTCCGCCGCGGTGTCCTTATTCAGCCCCCGTTTGGGCTGTCATGGTGGTGACACTTTATTGGAGAAGTTGGGACATTCGTAGGAGACACAGCCTCAGAGCAGACTCTGACCCTCCTTCTCTTAAGAGCATCTCGTTAACACAGAGACCGTGCTTCTCTTAAGAGCATCTCGTTAACACAGAGACCCTCCTTCTCTTAAGAGCATCTCGTTAACACAGAGACCGTGCTTCTCTTAAGAGCATCTTGTTAACACAGAGACCCTCCTTCTCTTAAGAGCATCTCGTTAACACAGAGACCCTCCTTCTCTTAAGAGCATCTGGTTAACACAGAGACCCTCCTTCTCTTAAGAGCATCTCGTTAACACAGAGACCCTCCTTCTCTTAAGAGCATCTGGTTAACACAGAGACCCTCCTTCTCTTAAGAGCATCTCGTTAACACAGAGACCGTGCTTCTCCGAGTTTTCTGCTCTGCTTTGTTGGTTTGGCTTGGCTTTTTGGGTTTTGAGCTAGGACTTTGATAGATAATCCAGGCTGCCTCCAACCTGTGATTCCCTTGCCTCGCCCCCCCCCCACACCATGTTCTGGGATTCCAGGAGTGAGCATACACAGCTGCTTCTGTTTTATTCTGTTACCATGATATCTGAAAAGCAATTACACTGAAGCTATTGAAGTCGAGCTCATATCTGTATGCATATGATGACCAGATATAAAGCTTTTGGGGCATTTATCCTATTCAGAATATGAAATAATCCTAAAATTAGAGGCTGGGATTAAAAATAAGTAAAAATACTTTAGGCTTGTGATTATAATGAGAGCAAGAGCTGTTATACATACATAACCCTTCTTGACTCCTAGGGAAAGTGTGTTCACAGCTTCTCTGAAATCTTCCTCCTAGGAAAATGACTTAGCAAGCCCAGTCTCAGAAAATGGAGATGAACAGATGAACAGAACTCACTCTAAGGCCACTGTAGGCACAGATCTCTACCTCCAACTGGAAAATCGTCCTTGAAAAAGGAGTATTTAGAAGAAAGGAGGTATTAGGGAGTAAAATGTTTTTATGCCCTGCCCCCTAGATAAAAAATACCATGCATTTAAAAATAAACAAAACTGTGATAACACTGTTTATATTTCTAAAAGTTGGAATGACTTAATTATACTTAATCATGGACAACATAATTAATTATTATCAGAACACAGTCCAAGAGTGGACTCACGTGGGGAGAATTCTGAGCGCTTGTAAAAGAAAACTCCAAGAAAACCAGACAAGAGTCTTGTGACTTCAGTTTCTTCAAAGCACAGAATTGATCTTGGAATGTCTCAGGTGCAGCGGATGGGAGTGAGTTTATGTCAGATTACTCACTACAGCTGGCTCTTGTTTATGTGTCTCTATAGAAAAGCATGTTTTTGCCACATGTGGCTTGTCCTTCGGATTGGCCTCATTACTCACGAGACTCTTCTTAACCCTCAGAGTATAAACTGAATAAAGCTGGCTTCTTGCCCTTGATGCTCACTTCCAGATATGCTCACTACACAACAAGTCAATTCCCTCCCTGCATGCTGCCTATTTGTGCATCTCTCACTAAATGCATTCTTTGCATGAAAACAGCAATTAGCACTTTCATCCTTTTTTTTTAGTGAAGATCTTGCTATGATCTATGCTAAGTCATACTACTACAATGCTGGAATTATAGACATGTACATGAGAGAACTACAACATACTAGTTGTGGTATTTATTTATCCATTCATTCATTTATTTATTTATTTATTTGAGTCCTGTATTGAGACACAAAGAATTTCAGTTGGTTCTAAAGTACACAACAGAGGCAGTCAATTTTACGTTATTCAGAATAAAAAACAATGCTGCACCTGTAAATATATTCGTGCAACAACTACTTGCACCACTTCCCAACTGCATATCAACTGCATATCAACTGCTTTGACCATGACCAGTCAAGAGCAGTAAGTCAGAGTCTATATGGAAAGATCTTTTGTCAGAATTATCATCAGTCTTCAGAAAAAAATAGAAATAATAAAGGAAACGCAAAATTAACAATATGCTTTGCTTTATTTGTTTGTTTTTTAAGATAGGGTCTATTATGTAGTTCTGCCTTCCTGGAGCTTGGTATGTAGGCCAGGCTAGCCTCAAACTCCCAGAGACCTGCCTGCCTCTGCCCCTTACTGCTTAAAGATGTGTGCCACCACACCCAGACAAAATTAACACCATTTTCAAAGTCTTCAATCTCTTCTGGCATTAGCCTCAAACAATACAATCAGTACTTTGAAGGACTGTGTCTCCTCTTCTGCATTAATAATAGGCTGCTCTGTTATTTTAAGCTTTCATCTCTGATCCTAGATTCTGCTGTATTACATATCAAGTAAACAAGCAAAAGAGTCCTTGTGATACATTGTCTAATCTTCAACAGATGCAAGCGCTAAGGAACTCGGTGGGCCTGGAATCAACGATCTAGTCTTCTGGGAGAGAAATGAAAAGAGGGACTAAAAGAGAAGAGGAAGAAAAAAGAGAGAAGAGGGAGGAAGAGGGGGGAAAGAGAGAGAGAGGAGAGACAGGAGAGGGAGAGCTTGTTTAACAATAGTCCTTTGATAAAATCTCTCAAATACTGATCCTTGGGTTTATATTTGTTAGCTAAAAAGACAATCCATTTTCCCTGAGCTACTGAATTCAGGAGATGTGAACAGGAGAATCTCTAAAATCCCCTGAAAGTATATCATCTTTAGGGGGAAAAATAGCCAATGGCTCTTGACTAAAACAAATGAAAAAACACAGCCTCCAACACAAAAGAGCATTTTTGTAGAAACTTACTGAAATAGGAGCTAATATTAGAGTTACTCTTACTGCAATATATACTCATTAGGCAAGTTTCCATCTGAGATAAGTGAAAATTCAATGTGAGCTCATTATAGTAGGTGTCACTATTGCTCACTGTTTAAAGGGCTCCTCTCTTCCTGCATGCATGGTTAGACATTTTAGACTCCCCTGCATGTGGCTAGGATCTTGTAATAAATCTGGATCAATAACTGTAAGCACCAGTGACTTACTCACTTTTCTTTTCTTTTTTTTTTTTTTTTTTTGGTTTTTTCGAGACAGGGTTTCTCTGTATTGTTTTGGAGGCTATCGGACTCACTTTTCTCTTATGCAGTCAATAATAAGGAACCCTATGAACAACTTCTTTAAAATGTTCTAAACTCTATTCACAACTAGATGAAATGGAGTCCATGTTTTTAATGTTTCACGTCATCGTTAGAATATATTACCATATTCCCAAATGATGTCTTACAGTCTAAGAAAGCACTCTGGGAAAACAGACTTGGTGGTCAGATAAGTTCTGTTAACAGTGTTAGGATCTCATCACACTCGGGTTCTCAGGGTTACTATAGTAAACAAATCTGCTTAGCCATTTAAAACAACTCAGCCAAAACTATTTGACCAAACAACAAATTTAGGAGTTAATACTTCTCACTGTTTCTAGTGTTTTTGATTAGAGACACTCTAGAATATTCTACATTGTTGGAGAAACATAGTTTTCCTGGGCAAATGTGGCTTACATATTCATTAAGCGAGGGGATTACCTGTCCTTTCCCATGAGCCTCTGTTATCCTTGTTTTCGCCTTAGGTTTCCATGGGAGAGCTAGTGGACTTTACCCTGAGTTTCCCTGTCTGCGGGCACACCTTCACAGGAAGAACTCCAGCTTACACTTTAGTTATTGCGTATCACAGGTAATGTCTGGTCTGTGCGAACCAGCTTACTTACGTCTGGGCCTCCTTTGCATTTTGTTGTTTTTGCTGGGGCTGAAGAACGTTAGTTACCAGTTCAGTGATCCCACTAAAGGGAAACCACCTGTTTGAACAAGCAAATAATGTGACTGAAAACCAAAAGAATAACAAGTGGAGACTCAGTGCTCTCTACCAAAAAACAATTAAACACACACACACAGGCACAAAAGCTACAGCCAATGGAAAGTGAGCTCCAGGTATCACCAGGCAATCAGGAGGCAGGGAAATTAAATGTGAACACTTAACTAGTCCACAAGCAGGCAGCAAAAAACTACATCCAGTCACTATGTGGGTGAAGTAAGAAGCTGCAGGCAGCTCTCTTACAAGCAGAGAGTCAGAAAGCAGAGGACACACCAGCTGCAGCCTGCCCAGTATTAGCGGGAGCTAATACCGTCCAAGGCGCAGAGAGCGGAGGCGCAGAGAGCCGAGGCGCAGAGAGAAGAACACGAATCCGGTCCACCGCGCTCAGAACGCGTTTACTTACTGCGCCGCCTGTGATTTGTGTTCCTCCTTGGCCCTAAAAAAATAAGTTTGCACAGCTGAGTGCACTGCCCTGAGCAGCGATTCCTACCTACACATCCGTGGCCATAGGTAATGGACACGGAAATTAGGGGTGTCACACAGAGGACTTTTGGTGCCACACCATAGGTTAGGATTGAGCATGCCGATTGAGCAAGGGGGAGAAAGACAGAAAGAAGCCGGCTCGTTTGGCTTCTGTTTTGCTTGCGGTGCCAGCGGTTGAACATGGAACCATACACATGTTAGGCAGTCATACTATTATGTTACTAAGCTACAACCCCGGCCCAGGATGAATTGCCCTTCTGCTAAAACTCTATTGCTCTTTAAAGCAATGTTTTAGCCACAGATTTTACCACATATTTTACTTTAAGGTGCCATAGTAATATGGCAATATTAACTGAAAATAAATAATTTCCAGTTTTCTCTTTAGCTTATTTTTTAAAATAAGTTGAAGTAAAGCCTAAATGTTTTAAATAAAACATGGGATTTTATAAATCATTTTAAAGCCTTAGTAATTAATTTATTTATGCCTAAAAGAATAGATAAAAAGAATTGGAGGGGTAATAGTATCTCATAAACTAACATTACCAATTAAATACTGTATATCAAACTTAAAATGGTCATGCTAATGTAAATTCTTCATGTAACTACAGCATAATGAAGATGAATTTAAACAACATTATATAAGTAACTATAATCAAATCAAGTGCTTGGCTTTTAATTCTTTGAAGTTCTACAGTCATCTGAAACCAAGGTAGCTCTCTTACAGGGGTAAGACTTTATATAAGCAAAATCCTGGTAGGAACTGATTCATAAGCAGACAGTCAATTCCTAGTGGATATGACACACTCAACAACAAGGCCTCCCGCCTCATGTGGCACCCTTAGTGAACCACCCTTGGGATTAGTGTTACTCACTATTTATTATGTTCCCTTATTAAAACCCAACTATTCGATTCACAGACCTACGTCTGTATTCTCTTTTCACAATTTCCAGGAAATGAAGAGGAGATTGGGCCGGTTTGTAGCTGTAGGTATGAAAATGTAATACAACTGAATACTGAAAGACTGAGAAGGATCTTACACGGCAGAGAGGAGACTGGTAAAGCTGGACTTTCCATGAATGACTAAAAACCTTCTTGACAAACGCATGTACTCAAAACAAGACCAGAAAATTGGTAAATAAAATGTACACAAAAAAAAACCTAGGATTTTTTTCATTACACAATGACATCATTAACATAAGCTAAGCTGTCTCTTTAAATCTAAGTTGTTAGTTTTACAGTATGTAGTGGTTCATCGTGTCAACTTAACTGAATTAAACAACACTGTAGGACTGACTGGTGGGGCACACCTCGGGAGGGCACTCTAGAGACTCTCTACCGGGATGGAGACTGCTCTGAGTGCGGACGATTCTGGTGCTACAGCAGACAGAGAGCACAGATGAGCAGAAAGAAGAGAAAGCCCACCAACAACACGCATGCGGGCTCTCTGTGCCTTCCATCCACCGGAAGGCCAGCAGCCCTTCCCACATGATCCGGCCGTGTCGGGGTCAGAAACAGATAGATCCTGCTGACTTTAAACCGAAAACTGTACCAGGAATGGAAAGGAGAAGCAGAAGACTGGAACAGAATTCTAAAGCACTTTGGAGACTAGTCTCGGGAAAGGCAACATTGTACCATTGCCTGGGAAAGGCAACATTGTACCATTGCCTGGGAAAGGCAACATTGTACCATTGCCTGGGAAAGGCAACATTGTACCATTGCCTGGGAAAGGCAACATTGTACCATTCCCTGGGCAAGCTACAAGGGGTGGAAAATGCAGGCAACATTGTACCATTGCCTGGGCAAGCTACAAGGGGTTGTGGAAAGTACTGCTGCAGAGATTGTTGCAGTCTTCTGAGGGGCACAGCAGGAAGAGACCTCCCAGACAGAAAGAAATACAGTCAGGCAAGCCTCCATACACCCTCACAGCCTCAGGGTAGAAAGCCCACATATGCTCCAAAAGATCCAGAGACAAGGCTGTGATTGGCAGAGGAAAAGGAGGGGCTGGGACAGGAAAGTACGCTAAAAACTGACATCATACACAGAAGATCTTCTACCTGGGAAAGCTCAATTACTGAGACAACCAGGCTTGGGCCCGCCTGTAGAGAATAATACAAAAGTCAATCCCAGGAAAAGGACAAGAGACACCATCCCAACTAGAAAGCAATACTAAATACCTTCTCTTTCACTTTATTGGTTTTTTTTTTTTTACTTTACATTTTGAACTTTAATTGACAGTTGTGTTTTAGCTTCGGTCCTGGATGCAAAGGCATTTATGGCTGTTCTTTCTACCACTACCCCTGCTCAACAAGGTTTTCTCTGGTTCTCATATCCTTGCTTCTCTGTGTTAGAAAACAATATGAAAAATAATACAGACATGATTTTTTGTTTGTCAGCTTTCATTGGTATTTGTGTATTTAATGAGTGGCCCAAAACACCTTCAATCCCAGCACTCAGGAGGCATAGGCAGGTGGAGCTCTGAATTCAAGGGGCAGCCAGGACTACACAGTGAAATCCTGTCTCAGAAAACAAACAAAAAATTAGTTTCAGTTTATTTGTGTGAGTTTTTGCCTGCATGTGACTTGGACGAGCAGGACATGCTCTTCACCTCTGACCCACTGAATCTTCTTTATCCAATATGGCCCACAGAAACCAAAAGGTTGGAGACGTCTGTTCCATACAATTATATTCAATTCTTTTAACTTGGCACATAGTAAGAAATATATTTTATATGCAACATATGCATTTGCACAAACTAAAATGAAATTCTATTAAATAATAGTGAGCGAAATAGACAATAGTATAGTTTGTTATTTTCCACACCATCTCTATTCTTAAATGCTTGCTAGTTTTGGTTGCTACTAAATGATTTCCTGACCCTTAGTTTAAAAACACAATCTGCAATAACTGCAGGTGGGCTATAGTTTATTCACGGGCCAGTCTACATACTCTGGGTGTTCTTTGTGGCTTTCAGAGTATTCCTGAGGTTTAGAAAGCAGGCTGAGGTTTTGAAACACTCAAATGATGAGAGGCCTTTATAATCAATCACTCTTACCCATGCATGTAGATAAGTCATGTGACTGTGTCACACGCAGGTTCTAAGTCCACTACAATTCTCTAAGGTAAGCATTACAGAGGACCAGGTCTCCCAATACCAGAAGGGAGGCAATAAAGTTGAACACAGAAAAGGAAATGAGTGGCAGTAGACAGAGAGGCAGGAGGTGCTGGACCTACCAGGATGGCAAAGGGAGCAAACCCTGGAAGATAAACACAGCCAAAGCCAGCTAGACAAAGGGAACCTGAAACCAGGGGCTAAGCAGGTCCTAGCAGGGGGAAGCGGGAACAGCTCACCACACGCAGGAAGGAAACACGGCCAGAAAGGAAAGGGGGCTGATGGCAGTTGTTGATGAGAAACTGTCTTCTGTGGTATGGTCTCTGAGGCTAGCCAAGAGCTAGAACGTCCTATGCAGCTCAGACTCACGGTAGTTAAAAGCACATATAATCGCTTTAGTTTTGTTTCTTTTGGTTGTTTTGAGACAGGGTTTCTCTGTGTAACCCTGGCAGTCTTAGAACTCGATCTCTAGAACAATCTGGCCTTGAACGCACATGGATCCCTGCCTCTCTGCCTGGGATTAAAGGCATGCACCACCACCAACCGGCAAAATCAGTTGTTTCTGGAAGCTCTGTTGAGTAACACTCCTTTTCTTCCAATAATTTTTTTATTAATTTAATTTTTACATTCCAATCCTAGTTCCCCCTCCCTTCTCTTCCCCTGCTTCCCCTGCTTCTCCCCGCCCCCAACTCCCATCTGCTCCTTGGAGAGGGTGAAGCCTCCCCTAAGAAGTCTACTAAGTCTGTCCCATCATCTCCTTAAGGCAGGACCAAGGTGCCTCCCCACCCCCTACTGCCCTGTGTCTAGGCTGGGCAAGGTGTCTCCACCAGTAATTTTGCCATGTTTGTATTAGAACGCTCCGCTGAGGAGGTGTGCTCTTTATCCATTTGCTTCTTTCCACTGCCAAACTTATAATTTAATATCAACCACATTAGTTTCTAATCCTCTGAAGATACCAAAGCTTCACATAAACAACTGTGTATGGGAAGGAAGGATACTCTTTTTACATGAACAAACTATCATGTTTCCATTATGGGAACAGGGGGTGCTCAGCGGGTAAGAGAGTTCACTGTTCTTGCAGAGAGCCTGAGTTCGTGTGGGTCACAAATGCCTATAACTCCAGCTCCAGGAAGCCAGACCTCCAGAGACACACACATGGAGCACACAAACTCACATAAACATAACTGAAAGCTATCTTTACACCTCTCTTATTTTAGTAGCAAAAATTATTCCAGTAGAGTTCAAAAGGTTAGGGATATAACTATTACAAAATAGGTACTGTCCAACAAAATAATTAAGTTGTGTCTTTAAATTATTACTGAATTGCCTTTTCTTTTTGTTTTTTATTTTTCATAATCAGAGCTTATATAACAAATTTAAGTTCAAATTTAAGCCAAATGTGAGTTTATCAGAATCTGTCAGCCATCTACATTTGTAAGCAGAGCTAATCTACTACTTAGTAACTCACCAGTAGTTAGCTTAGTTCACCATTACTCAAAAGCACCACAAAGAAAGGCCTGTATAGTATTGATTTGCTGTAACTTTAATTGGGACACTCCTAAATTAACTGACAGTATAGCTAAATGTTACATACAGGTAAATCATGTCAATAATAAACAACTTAGCAACATGCATATAAATATCAACTAGATAATTAAATATTCCATAAACTTATAAAGCATTAATAATACCAAAGGAATTTTGAAAGTCGGAAATTGTCCCTAATCAACTGACTTATTATTGAAGTGACACATAAAGGTTTTCTGTAAAATAATGATGATGATGATGATGAAGAAACAGGCTAAGATTCCAAAAGAACTACTGAGAAAAAAAATCAAAGGAG